CCAATATAGTCCTAGAAATATTAGCCAGAGCAATTAGACAAGAAAAAAAATAAAAGGAATATGGATAGGAAAGGAAGAAGTTACATTATCATTATTTGCAGATGACATGATCGACATAGAAGACACCACAAACTCCACCAAAAAAATTTTAGATTTAACATTTAAATTCAGTATTGTAGTTGGATACAAAGTTAACAGTCAAAAATCAACAGCATTCTTGTACACAAGTAACAAAACTGACAGAAATTAGGGAAACTACACTTTTTAAAAGAGCATCCAAAAATAATGAAATACTTAGGGTTCAGTCTAACAAAGGAAGTAAAAAGATCTATACATTGAGGATTATGGTATTCTGAAAAAGGAGATTGAATAGGATAGCCAAAAATGGAAAGATATCCCTTGCTCTTGGACAGTAAGAACCCACATAATGAAAACGACCCGACTCCCAGTATTGTTATACAGATTTAATACAATCCCAATCAAAATACCATTAGCATGCCTAATGGTATTTTAGAAAACACTCTTAAAATTCATTTGGAATCAGAAAAGACTTAACACAGGAAAAGCAATTCTGCGCAACAAAAGCAAGTCAAGGGCATCACAATCCCTGACCTGAAATTTACTATAAAGCTATGTGATAAAATCAGTATGACATGGGCAAAAAAACCAACCAAACAAACAAACCCAGACCTAAAGATCAATAGAACAGAACAGAAGATTCAAATGCAATTACAAACACTTAGCTACCTTATCTTAGACAAAGGGGTCAAACAGGTTCACCAGAAGAAAGATAGCCTCTTTAATGAATGAGGCTGGAAAAACTGGCTTTCCATGTGCGGGAGACTAAAATGATCCATACATATCGCCATGGACTAAAGTCAAAATGGATCAAAGATCTAACTATTAAAACAGAAACACTAAATCTACTGGAAGGGAAAATAGGGAGAAATCTTGAAGATAGAAGTATAGGCAGAGACTTCAAAACTCAGACCTCACAGGAAATACTACAAAGAATCAACAACTGGGATCTCACCTTATTAAAAAGATTTTTGTACAACAAAAGATATCACCAATACACAGAGTGGGAGAAAGTTTAGACAGTTGTCCCTCAGACAAAGGGATTATATCTAGAACATATAAAAACTTGAAAAAAATAGGCTCCCAAAGTTCAAAGACACAGTCCAAAAATGGGCATCTGAGACACATATATATTTTTAGATGAAGAAATGCAAATCTCTCTAGCATTAAGCATTAAGTCTGCGTGAGCTGCTCTATTTCATTTTGCAGAGTTATTAATGGCCCCATATTTAAGTGGAGGAACCCAAGTACTGATTCGCTTGTTCCCTCATTTATTCTGTTTTTCAGGGTGTCAAACATGTTGTATATGCAGGGCAACATTTTTAATGCTTGCAATTGAAAAGAAGCCAAGACAAAATTTTGCCTCTCTGAATAAAATTCCAAAAAAAGTATTAAGCATTAATAAAGTAACCTAAATAATAATTTTATAAAAGGTACACAGTTAGCTCAGTGAGAAGTAATTAACTTTGCCAGAGTTTAGTAGCCAGTACAGTAATCCTACATGTTTTAATTAATAGAGGTGATATTTAAATCTCATAGGAATCTCTCTTATTTGAACTCAGCAATCTCTTACACAATTGCTGGCCTTTCCTCTGGGATATGGTCTTTGGGTTCCACGATCTCCTTCGCTCTTGATCTTTCTACAATCCTACCTCATTCTTTTCAGTGTACATTATGCCAGTATTAACATTTTCCTTCCAATCTTTAAAAATTGCTCGCCAGATTCTTTTCTGACATTGTATGAGAGCCTACAGGGACAGCGGTCTGTACATGAAAAAATTAAATAGGGGCTTCCTTAGGTCCACTAGCTAATCATACTTTAAAACATACATTACTAGAGAGAGTCCTTTGGGAAAGAAGTCAAGGACAGGGTAGGAAAAAAGAAAAAAAAAAAAAAAAACAGATAAAGGCACTAAATGGCCTTGGAGCTTTGACACCAAGATCAGAAAAAGAGCTGCCAGCTGGGACACAGAGAGAAAGCCAGGTGCACAAACGGTAAGCCGCTGCCACCTCCAGTAAAATACAGGAGAGGCAAGGGAGCCAACTAACTTTAAGGCAGTGTGTACTCACACCAGTGCACTAACATATACACTCTAGTCACTGTATTATTCGCTCCAGGATCATCATAGAGCATAACTGACACCCACTCTAAATTAACCATGAATATGGCAACCTTCTGCCAGCGAGCCACTCACCCCAAAGGAAAGACCTTAAAAGGTAAATCAAGGGCAAGCAGACAGACCAACAGACAGAAGCTGTACATAGACCACTAAAGAAATGACATTAGGGCTGGGGCATAGCTCAGAGAAACACTGTCTGCCTGGCAAGCATGAGGTTTTGAATTCCATTTCTGTTACCATCCTCCCCCCCCCCCCCCCCGGCTGTCCAGAAGTCACTCCAGTTACGGGAAGTTCCAGGTGGACGGGAAAGGGTCTCACCCCCACATGTGAAAGTAGCCAGGAACAAAAGGTCCTCAATGCCCTCTGTTTTTCCAGAGCCTCCCCCAGATTCTTCCTTATCAGGGTGGATTCCACCCCCTACACATGAAGGGTCTCCCTTCCTTTAAACTTTATTCTTCTAACTTTTCTCTTTACCATCCCGGGCTTTACCATCCCGGTGAGTGGGCTGCTTCCATAGCAGAGCAGTGGCACTCATACCCCAAATGCCACTTCTTTGGTTCCCTGACCAGGAGCCAGATGTGACAAATCTATCATAGCCTCAGCTTTCAATACTGTGCATAGGTTTCCACCTCCCAGATTTTACCTCTAGCCACTGACGCATTTAAATCTTAATTGCTATTGGAACTTTTACTTACAATTTCTGCCACAGTCTCCAATTTATGATCTTTCATAAAAAACTGGATCTGCTCAAATCTTCCCCACATAGCTGTATGTGGAGCGGTGAATCGCTCACGCCAGGACCTAGGGGCTCCTTCTTGGAACCCTTTTCAGCCTTGTCCTTCAAGCTAACTAACCTCAAATCTTCCCATCTTAGTTCAAAAATATTTTTTGAGCCCACAGGGCCCCTTTTCACCTACATTGTCTCTAGCCTGGCTCACAACACCACCACCTCTCACCTGTACCACAAAAGTGACTCACTTCTCAATCACTTCTCCTTGTTTAAAAAAAAAAAAAAAACAAAACCGAAAAAACACCAAAGACTCAGAAGTACAGCAAAATCTTTAAGTCCATGCAGAGCTCCTCTCTCTGCTGCATTCTCCACTGTGGAAACTCTGGCCACCTGCAGGCCTCCTACAGCTTGCGCCCTCCTTTGTTGATGCTCATTTCCAGGCATTTACCGTCTCAAGCAGTTCTTCACCCCTTCCCCCGCCGTTCCGTTCCCTGCCTTATGCTTCTGAGCTCAGCCTGAAGCCCAGGAAGCTTTCGCTGAGTAACCCAGCCTGCATCTACATCATCCACCAGTCTCACAGGTCCCAGGCCACGAGCACTGCTTAAGTGTCACTGAGTGTCTAACCGGCTGCTTAACATCATCCCCTGAGCTGGCTTGGAAGCACCCCAATGCTGAGGAGTCCCTGAAACTTCTGTGAGAGTAAGGTTAAGAGTGGTGACATCTGAAATTCAGGGGCTTCCTCTTCTGTACATGATTCCTCCTGGCCCTTTTCCTCTGTCCCCTACTATGTGCCCACCCTCACATACCAAGCCTTAGAAATCTTGCTTTTATGCTGACACTGACCAAGGAGAGACAAGCAGCAAAGGAGGTGGTGAAGGCAAAGTTATCAGGCTATCAGAGATGAGCAGAGGCAACAGTTCAAAGTGCTGACACTCAATGACAGGACACAGTCTAAGTACCTGTGACAGGGTGGGGCAGGAAGGTTTGCTGGTTTGTTTTAGTTATTAAAGAAAGTGATAATATAATTGGAAGTTGGCTAATAAACTGGAAGTTTAGCCTAGTGGGAAATTGAAGGCTACCAATGGGAAAACTAAAGTAATGCTTTAAGAGAATACAGAGAACACAACATTAGACCAAGTTGAGATGTCGTGTGGACTATGATATATATCATTTTAAAGAGAATAAATGTCAAGTATAGCTGGTCTAAAACAGAGGTTGAGAAAGAAGCAATCCAAGAATATGTAGCTAAGATTACTTAAATTCAGCCATTCAGGGATTCCAGGGGTTCAGAGGAAAAGTGTGTAGAAATCATTAAACACTGCACTATTGTGTAATTATGTGGGTCATTTTAGAAAGCAAGTGAAAAACAGGAAAAATAAAATCAAACCCACAGAAAAGGTTTCTTTGGGAAAACAACAATCTTGAAGGATATGACATCCTTCTCGGGGAAGATGCCAAGAAAACGTTATGAGTGTTTGCTTACTAAGAGTACTGGAACGATGAGAAAAGAAAAGGCAGTGGGCCCTGGGTGTTACTCTGGGCGACCATGCGGGGCACAGGTCACACCCTGAGGTCAGGGGGAGCCTAGCTCTGTAGTTCAGAACCCCCTGTTTTTTGATGCTACACTCACTGACCATGCTGAGTATGACTTGAACAATGACTGACCATGCTGAGTATGACTTGAACAATGAATTGAAACTGAAAAGACATGGGTCATCTCTTTGCAATGTTAGGTTTCTCTGATGGATACGGGTAAAAGAATTTGCGTGGGTTAAGAAACATAGCTTTAAATTTATGTAGTCCAAATCTGTAGCCTTAATGTAAAACCTGTAACAACACAAAAGAAACTTAAGAGAAGTGTAAAGTCTAAGAAAAAAGCAATATGGTAGCCATTGAAGTGTCAGGTTCTAATGTAATCAAGAATCTTAATTCACGTAAATGCCAAGGCCAAAAAGCCACCAGCGCTGGTTTTCACGGGCTCATATTCAGTGCAAGACTCTTCTCACCCTCCATGAAATGCAGTGCGCCCATTTTACAAGTGCAAACACAGCACTCAAGGCTCAGGGATGTACCTGGTAGTCCTCTGGACTGAATGCTGTCAGGGACACGGTTCTGAACTCCGCAGTCACCCTTCCCAGAAGGCCCTGCGCACGGACGACCAGCAGCTGGACTTCTCCGTCCTCCTCCTGCACTGTGAGATGTGGCTCGCTGCTGGCAGGCAGGCTCATTGGGTCCTCGGGCCTGGGAGGCGGCTCTGTGGAGAACTGCAGCAAGCCTGGGGACCAGGGAGGAGGGAACACCCCCAAGTCATCCACAGGGGTCTGTTCTGCTTTATTTTGAGACAGGGCCTCAGGGTTGCCCTGGCTGGCCTTCAACTTGAGACCCTAGGGCCTAAAGCTCTGTGGAAGATTTGTTCCTCATCTCAAGCAAGCCTGCACCAATGTTTCAATCACCAGGGTAAAGTCCTGAGGACATTCATGTAGAGAGATTTTAGTGAAGATTTGCTTAACATGTTTTTGACACATAATATGTTTACATACTTGCATGTTAAAAGTAAAAATACTAATTTTCCTTGTTTTTATTCAAAGAAAGTTTTCTCCCTCCAAAGGAATATCAATTAAAGGAACACGGAGCTTTAAAAACATTTATTTTCAAACATTTACACATATTTGAGTGGCATCTCTGGAATTAACCCTCAAACTTATTGCAGAACAGGATTAATGACACCCTAAAGAATTTGCAACATTTTAAAAATAATTTAACTAAGGAAACCAGAATGGAGAGCTTTCCAGGTTTCCTACCTGGACATTTTTGGACAGATATTCTTCCTTTATTCCTTCATAAGAAGTATGCTTTTCAACTTAAAAATTCTGAATTTAGTCAAACAGACATCTATGATAGTTCCCCAATTAAGAAAATTATCACATTTCAGCATAAGACACAAATCAGTGTAGATGACAGGGATCATGTCTTCAAGACCAATAATATAGAAATAAATCACAAATACTTCCATTATATAGATGTTAATATACTATCATAAGGTAATTTTTAAAGTTTTCTTAGTACGTTTGTGCTATATAGTAACATTCATGCCTTGCATGCATAAGGTAATTTTATTTGAAGGGATTTTGATAGCCATAAGTGGAAACACTTTTTCATTTTAAACAATATTTCAGAAAAACTGGTCAAATACTGTAAATTCAGACACTCATCTTTATATATTCTTTCAGAAGCAATATTCCTCAAAATGGAGACTCAGAGGTATGAGGGTCTCCATTCTACCCCAATCAATGTGAAAAGTCCCCCCTCAGGAAGTTCTTAATAAAACCCAGTGCACTTGAGCAGAGGGAATCGTCCTTGCAACAGGTGGCTTACCATAGGGATGATCACTAGCTTTAATGGTGATATCTGTGGTTTCCTTCTCAGGATCTATGCTGGCGCCACTGGTGGGAGTTGAACCTAGCTTCCCATCTCCAGGAACCGCAGAAACCAGGGTCACCCGAAAATATTCATTAAGCTCAGGAATATCATCATCAAGAACATATATATTCAAGACCTATAAATGTAGAAATCCAAGGCATTAGGGAATGAGGCATACAGAAGTTATCTACCAGAGGATAATTAAAAAGCTAACTGATTGCGTTTAGTTGAATTACTGTTTAACATGACTTTGCTACACAGGTTTGCATGTTGAAGGATATATAATGTGTGTGTACATATATGCATATAAAGAGAGAGAACGTGAACTGAGAAAATGAATTCCTTGAACTATAATGGATACTGCTATTATCTGAATGTTTGTGTTCTCTAAAAATTCACCAGCTAGTATCTAGGCTGGGAGGTGACAGCATTATAGACAGAGCTTTTGGGAGACAATGGTGGGTTACAGGTGGACCCCTGGGGAACAGGGACAGTGTACAGAGGGAGGAGGCCTGGGAGAGCTTGTTTCCCAGTTCCTCCCAGAGGGACACAGTGAAAAGATGCCATGGCTATCTATGGAGCACACAGTGACCCCTCAGCAGACACTTAATCTTCAGACATCTTCATTTTGCACTTCCCAGAAAGCAGAGTAGAGGCAATGCATTTCTGTTATTTATACACTCCCCAGTCTAAGGTATTTTTTATAACAATCTGAACAGTCTAAAGCAAGTGCTGAGAAACAAGATCTTTCTTGTAGAAGTATCCTAATCTCACATTAATATTATAACACACATAACATATTGATATTCTGCATGAGTACTGTATCGCATATTCTGTGTACCAAAGAGACCAGCATTATTGACCTCAGGGTAGAGTTCCCAATTAAGGAACTGCATGTTCTTTAATACGATGTGGTACAGTAGCAAGAAAAAAGCAATATACATGCTGAAGAAAAATAGGACTCACTAACAGTATTTTAGAAAGTGGATTCTATGACATGCTTTAGAAGTCTGGCTGAAGCAATTAGTCCACAAAAGTTATGAAGTATCTCACAGCAATGCTTTATAAAATTTAAAGTGAAAAACAATTTCTCTTTCCTTTATTAATGGAACACATTGTGTCACACACAGCATCTAGGAATTTTAGACATGGCCCCAGTCCCTGAGAAGCTTATTATTTTAGAAGACAAACATACAGACAAATGTTTAAAATATAATGTAAAAATGCCATACTAAAGTTATGTACAAAGTACACCAAGGAAGAAACAACTGTCTCTATTTGGCAAAGGTTTAGAACAGACATGCTTGGAATGAGTCCTAATGGATTTGTTACAGAAGTATGTGATAACGGGGAATGGTATTCCAAGCAAATCACAACATAGCAAAATGTAGAAGGACATGTAGGAATATGACACGCAAGGAACTGCAACCAGGCCACCAAGGCTGGAGCACAGGGAAGTGCAGGAGAATGACCAGAAGCCAGGTCATAGGGATCTTTTATGCTGGCATAAAGAATCTGGAGCACATTCCATGCAGAGCAGAGAGGGGCAACCTGAAGAATCACAAGCAGGAGATGGATAAAATAAAAACTGTGTTTTAGGATGAGTACCATGGCAGAACAAAAACAAACTGGACAGAGCACGAAAGTATGCCAGAGGATCACTCACTACAACTAGTGGAATTCTGTGCCAACAACCACAGAGACAAGAAAAAATGAATGGGTTTGAGATCCAAGTAGAGGTAGGAGATGCAGGCTTAGTGAGTGAGGGAAGGAAGGAAAGAAGGGTGATTTCCTGATTTCTCCAAGAAAGAAGAGTAGTGACTGGAAACAAACTAAACGTACATGCAGCCTCCAAAATACTAACCAGTGGACCTCACAGCACCTGCAGACTTACTCTTAGAAATATTCCTAGAGATTGTGATTCTGCAAATTTGATGAAGAATCTGAATTTGATTTTTAATGTTCATTTTAGTCCTACTATGATTTTAAATACTAAATGGCATAATGAGTGAGCTCATAAAAGAAGTGTTAAAATGACATTTCATAGCCAAATCATATCATTATTATTGAAGTACAAAGAAAAAGACGTTTAAAACATATAGAAGTTAACATTTTAAATAATTATCAAATGAAATATTTATAATTATCTTACTAGCCAAATTTGATTTACTATTATGTCTTCCAAACTCTGTATGGATGTAAGTTATAAACAAGGGTTCTGCTACATTTTTAGTTCATAGTAGTTTTTCCAAGAAGAAGCATTAAAAACATACCACATATTATCATAACTTTTTGATAAAGAGCACTTCAAAAACAAAGCACTGGAATAAAATACCCTTGTGCAAATGGAGTCATTTTAGCTTTCTGGAAACTTACTAGGTGTCTTCATTTTACCAAAGATTAGTAAAACCTTTATCATATTTACAAACTACTACTGGACAGCTTTTGCTATAAATTATTTAATTCATTCCTTTTCCCCCCAAATTGATAACTCTTTCCTAGCTTTAATTCTTCAGATTTTAAGAGTAGTTAAAACTTTCCCTCAGCTTTATTTTTCTCATCCAATTTACTTTGTAAGACCCTCAAAATTTTGCTTACATCATCTATCATTTGGTAGGGTTTTTTTTTTTTTGTCTTTTTCCTTTTTATTGGTACCAGGGATCGAACTCACGACTGCCTGCTTGCAAAGCAGGTGCTTATGCCGCTGAGCTAAATCCCCAGCCCCTCATTTGGCAGTTTTAAGTTAACTTGCTATGTATCCCCATAAACTTGTCAGCTATCTACATTTTAATGTAAAAATAAAGTACAGATGGAAATATTCAAACATGGTCAATTAAAAGAATGAAGTTCTAACCCAGGAGGAAATGTCACGCTGACTGCACCAGAGGCAGTGTAATTTATTTATGGGGCTGCCACTCAGTGACAAGACTATGGCTATGAAAGGAGGTTGTCTGTATTTCTGAAATGCAGAAATAGTACCTTGTTTCTCCAAATTTAATGCAAATAAAATCAGTTTACAGTGATTACGAACTTCTCATTGGTTAACTGCATGGCTTCTCCCTATATCAGTAATAATAAAAAAAACCCATAATGATACACCCTCAAGTTACATCACTTTTATTATAATGAGATGAAAGAACGGATAAAACTGTAACTCTTCAAAATTCATACTTATCTCTTGTATAAATACTAAATATTTTATACTGTTGATATACCTGATCCCCTTGATATTTCAAATTGCTAAAATGGCAAGAAGCTGCAAAGAAATTAAGAAACAAACACATCACGGAATGTTTTCCTAGGGGCTTTCAAAGCAACGAAGCACGTAGGGTTCACCTCAGATCTCTGCCAAGGAAGGAAGGTGATAGCTCCACTGACATTAGCAAAATCGTCTACAAGGTAATTAATGCCTTCAGATTCGATCTGTGAGATGGTGTAAAACACACGCACGTAGTCCAGGGCTCCCCTCGTGCGCTCCACCACACATGAAATGGTAGATCCCTCCTCTGCGATCTGAAATTGGACATAAATTAATTATATGCACATACCTGCTGAAGTCAGAGATAAAATTACAGTGCTTTCATGAAATGCTTCTATTATTTATAAACTTAATTCTATAACTTTCAACCTCTTGAAAAGAGAGTAAGAGGCCTCTGTAAATGGAATTGAAACATACAATGTTTAAATTTTTTAAAATATTTTACAGTTGAAGACACATTGCCAGTAATTCCCCTCAAAATACACTTCCTCATTTGGAACACATTTTACTCATCATCCTGCCACTTTCTGAAGCAGTTCTGGAGTCCTTTTGAGAGTATATTTGATTCTAGCTGCTCCCCATCACCAACAGATCCAAAAACATTTACCTTTCATGGTCATTCTGAATTTAAAGCAGAGCCACAAGTCACACGGTGCCAGAACCAGTGAACAAAGTGGATGAAAACACACCATGATATTTTCATTTGACAAAAGCTGCTGTAAATGTTTTGAGGTGATTCATGACATCAGATAGTCACAAAAAGACACTCATGTATTTTGACTAAGAAGTATTTACAATTATTTGCTTTTCCCACTACTCATCCACAGGGATAAATAAAGCAAAAATGAATCATAATCTTTTAAATGTACATGTAATTCGTTCATTGATACTTTCCGTGCGCCAGCCACAGTGCTAGGATTTGATAGTTACAATTTTCTTCAAAATAATCCATAATCCTTTCTCTAAGTGGAAATTTGAAGAGGATGACAAATTTACAGCCTAATAATGATTTCAGCACACTCAGACAAATAGTGGTAGTAAGGAGTAGAGAGTGAAAATTATAACAGGAAGAACTTTCCAGCTATGAACCTAGAAACCATACAGTGTATTCCGTGGAGTCATATTGGGTTATGAGAAGTAACAAGTAGAAAACCTCAAGAATGTTAACACAGGGACAGTATCAGATCAAAAAAGATATTATACATCATGCTTAATAGAATCTTAATATTTTTATACATACATCAAGGTATACAAGCATGTATATGGGTATTTTTTCAAGAGTAATATTCTAATCTAAACAATTTTTAAGATAATGATCAAAAACTATACAGAGCAAAAGTTAGTCTTTTAAATAGACCTTTAATCTGTGAAACTCTCAGGCTCAAAATTAATTTTATTTTTATATTAGCAAGCATCTAATTCAGAAAAAAAGGGACTAGAACTGAACGGAGATTAAATACACAAATCTTAACATATAGAATGTCACTGTCACTTTCTCATATGAATCATAAACATCTTCAATTATCTAGAGCCTGTTTAGGGCAGATACCATGGCTGGAGAAAACAGAACTGAACACTGTCTACTACCAGCCCTAGTCAAACAGTTAGCAAGCAGCAATCCTAGGAGTTTCAATTGTCTGAGTTTCGCAGAGCAGCAGGAACCCTCATGCCTCTATGCAAACAGGACCCAGCACGGAAACGCTGCAATTTCATTTGCCCGCTGGCCCCTGGCATGACAAGCCCAAAGCAACCAGGCAATCATTCAGTGAAGCCTGGAGTGACTCCCCTGGCGGACCTGTTCATCTCCCAGCCCTCCTGCCAGAACCACAACTTCCCCATCAGTGGAGTCTAAAGCACGGAAACTGGACACCAATTCAGGCAGAGGCCACCAGGAGTTGTGGAGCCCTTGTGGAGCCCGGAGTCAGTCTCTTCTTCCACTTGCTCCTTGAGCCTGACAGTTTCAGTTGTCTGTATTTCTGAAATGCATAGGAGCCATAGAAGGAGATGCCTGCCACTGTGCACACCTACAACACACCAGCCCTGCATGATGCTGGTGGAGCTGCCCATGCAGCTCGCTCTAGAACAGGCTTTGCAGTTGCGCCAGGCAAGTTTCTCTGGGTGAGATGGTGCACGGTAAGGCCAGGGCACCCAAGACTGTGTGCTCACTGTCATGCCTCCTCTGGAGTTGCTCGAAGCCATGCATACAGATTGCCAAAGAGCTATTGCAGGCATTCTTTAAGCCTTCAGATGACGGCGCTGCACAGCTACTGGGAAGGTAAATTCACTAGCTAAAGTACGTACTAGAATGAATCACTGCCTCCTCTAGAAAGACAAATCTGGTTGGGATCTACCCACTACTAACTGGGTCACTGGAAAGTGCCTGGCTTTGGTCTCCGTGGCTTGCTGCTTAGAAAAGCAGCAGCAACAGTTCACAGTGTAGCACTGGAACATAAGCTCCAGCCCTGCCACCCTGCTGATAACAGAGGAGGATCTGGCCAGTAGGTGACTGAGCCTCACCCTGACTTCCTGGATGTCGACAGCCTCTTGGGAAAGGCTCCCTCAAACAGGTATTTCTCCTGGTACCTTTTCACATGCCTCTTCCCAAATGTCCTTGGCTCTAGTCTGATTTTGACTCACCCAATCTGGGGCCAAGCCTGGGCCAAATGGCTCCACCACCAGCACTGCCTAGAGGTGCTTGCTCCTTCTCCTCTGGGCCATTTCTCCCTCTGCACTCACTGAAAAGCTGAGTGGCTATTTCTAGCTCTCCCTCTGCCCTTCAGAGTCACCCTGAATGAGGCAGTAGAGAGGCAGCAACAGCCTTTCAAAGCCCAGCATATCAAGCCCAGATCTGTGAGGCAGGCTCCAAACTTTCTTCCTCTGTCGCAATGTGTCACAGAGTTTGGATAGAGATCATTTTAAATGAAGCCAGTTTGAAATATCTATTAAAATTTCCGTGAAGAGATATGTCAAGATGGCAGTTGGAGAAATGAGGGTGGAATTTTAGAAAAAGGACAGGATTGATAACATAAATATGTAAGTCAGTGTATAAATTCCGGTATTTAAAGCCATATGGAAATGGTATATAAATATGTAGTTGTACAAATGATATTGAAAGTCTGTTGAGACAATGAAGGATGATGATACTAAAGATGGAGAAAAAATCACCAGGTACATTCAGTTCTGCTGTTACACTTGTCTCAAAGGAAGTGACACAGAAATACAAACACGCCTCCAAGATGGGTCATCTCCCTCAGATGAACGCTTGTTACCCCCACAGCCACGCTCCTCCGTTTCCAGTGTAACAGCCCTTCCTCCGGGTTCAGATAACCTTCCTTCCTTCCACTGCTTCATGGTCTACACAAACGGAAACACTCCTGATGTCACTTTCTAAGTAAACTTTGCACCTTTTCCAGGGTAATATGCTGCATTTTACAGTATGCATTAAACATTTAATGAGTTTTTTATTTTCTTTCTTTCTGAGCTTCATTGTTTCGAGGAGGGCTGTCCCTGCCCATGTTCCACATAACCTCAGTGTTGACCACCATGTGATCTGGGACAGCATGGTGGCTTCTAGGGACTCATTGCTCGGGTCTCGCAGGACTGACTGTTCTGTAGGTGAGATCCTGTTAACTTAGGAAGTAAGAGAGAAAAGGACCCAGGGACTCTGCACAGCCTCCAACTTAGCTTCCACTCAGGGTCCTTACTGGCTCTTGCCTGCTGGCAGGATGGTACCGAGCAAACGCATGGTGCAGTGTGGAGCTTGTGGCATCTCCCACCCCTTATCAAGCACTTTCAGCCTCTTCTTGAAGGAATGACCGTAAGGTCTCGGGGGTCTGGGTGGAGGTAAAATAAGCAGGAGAGCTGGCATCTAGCAACCTAGTAAGTGCTAAAAACAGTAATATTCTTCTCCCTAAATAGGCTTATACAAGAACAAAAATTCTACAAAAAAGTATTTTCCCACTTTACAAATAAAGCAGCATAGACACAAAATCAAAGTGACATATATGAAAACACATGGATTCCTGTGTTTCTCAATTCTTGTCATGATGAAGGTGGATTTGCTCCATTTTCCCACTACAGATTTTAATGAAAAGAAACATTTTGAACTAGCTAAATAAAGCATTAATCTAAATATTTAAATATTCAATCCATCCCTTTCCAGCAAGAGGCACAGACCCAACAGCAATATGTGATGGATTCTTACTGGCTTACATTTTTACCAACATGGAGCATATAGAACTAAGAGAGAATTTGTTTGTTTGTTTGTTTGTTTAGGAATAAACAAGTCAGTAAAACTTTCATCAAAATTTACAGCTTCCTGAATGTTTTCAGTTTTAAGAAGAAAAATAAGGAAACTAAGAGCAACCATCATTACCCATAAGCAATAAAAGTGTGGAATGATGCATGCTATATATTAAAACTGCATAGAAAATTTAAGGATTCAGCATTTTTACTCAACAAATCAACCTTTGTAAGGTCTAAATTAGAGAAGATCCTTCAAATGTCAAGAATACATGAAAGAACAACCACTATGTTTGGTAAAAATCTACTTTTAATATGTATGAATCCACAGAGGAAAGACATTAGTCTGGTTGTTTTTAAAAAATATTTCAGCCAAAAATAAATAAAGCAAGATAGGCAAAGAACTAACAAGGTGATAGGCACAATAGATCACTGTTCTACCTTCTGTATTTTATGCTATCTATGAAAATGTTCATCTAAAAAAATTTTCTGATACATCTTTTTTGCATCTCCCCTCCCACAGCCAGATATTCTAATCCAGGAATGGGATTCTGAATCAAGAGTATGTACACATATGAGACGAAGCTGACCAGGGTTATCCATGGACAGCACTTTGAGAAATTCTGACTATAGAATATAATTACTACCACAGAAGATGCTTAAGGCACAGAGAATAAATATCTACAATTTTTTCCAATATTAAAATATTCATTTAATTGGCTTTAATTATGATACAAAGAAACATTTTGACCACTGCACATAAAGGCACAGCATCCATCACGATCTGTGAAACTATTATCTCTGCCCTGCACGCAGTCGACTTTACTACTGTTTACTCTTTTGTGTCAGGAATTTGTCAAACCTTTTGATCACCAGAACAGTAGTAATAAACGTAATCAGTAAAACTCACTTTTAAACTCTATTTACCCAGAAAAACAATTCAGTATTCTGAGCCATGAACTGGCTTTTGTTGTTGAAATAGAAGATTAAAGCTAAACAATTACAAAGCCAA